AAACGATTAAACAAATTCTCCAAAGATATGTTTATTTGTTTGTTTCTAGTTAAGCACAAAGCTACACATTGGGTTAACTGTGCTCTGCTCACCACGGTATTGAAACCCGGTTTCTAGCGTTGTAAGTACGCAGAAATACCTCTGTGCCACTGGGGAGCCCACAAATATGACAGATAAGAATGAAAATTATTGTAATTTTGTTGTTATCTTAGTGTAAAGCTATACACCGCGGAGAATCGAGCCATGTATTTTAGGGTTGTAAGTCAGTAAATTTACCAATGACCCAACGGGATTCAATTGTTTTAAAACACGATAGAGCAGGAGTTCAACAAGCCTATAACTTTTCTATTATTTTTTGTATGAAAATACTTTAAAATTTGAACAATGTTTCTTTACACTAAGTATACTAATCAGACAGCTTAATAATTTCCAACCCAAACCTTAAATGTTTGACGAAAATATCTGTTTCTGTTTTCTAAAGGTAATAATACGTAAGTCTCACCGAAGATTAGTTAACGTTCAACGATACGAAAGTATTTCATTACATATTCACTTGTTATGCATATATGATTGTTAAAAACTTAGTTATATTTAGGCTTTAACGAATCATTTATTTCTAGGTGTTGTGCACCAGACGTAGGGAAAAGTTTGTGTATTTGTTTTAGTAACATTTATGGTGTTTTTAACTCCTTTTTTAATTCACCAAGAAAAATAACTTCGATGTGTGAATAATATTAAGGTATTACGCCTAATTCATTATATACGGTTATACAGTGGGCCAGCTGTTCCATTACAGATATTACAGATTTATTTTCATTTAATTAAAGGTAAAATTGAAAATATAATCTTTGACTTAATTGTTAGTAAGACGATGTAATATCACAGTACGAAACGACTAATAATTAATAAGGCTGGATATTCTTTTAAGCCTCATATTCTTAAAAAAACACTTTATTATATGATCAGCATAATCTAACTCCAACTTTCAAAATATTAACAAAAAACGCATAATATAAGAACAGGCAGTAATTTCACATCAAATGCTGACCTGCGACCTCGGTTTACCGAATTTCATTGTCTAGTACCTGTTTATAAAACAAATTAAAAACTTCAGGCAAATATAAGTTATTGAATTATCCCCATATTTTTTCTTAGGGGTCTTTTCTCAGTTGTCTGGAACAAAACTGCTTGCTACTATAAATCATTTCGATATAGTAAATGAAAAAACTATGATTTTTAATCAGTAAAAATGCACAAGTATTTTAAAGACATCCCTTTCCTTAGTAGAATGACAACTTTAATAAAACGCCATTTTGTTTCGATTTAATGAGAAGGAAAATTCTATGTAAAAACAAGTTTTAGCCAAACCTTATTTGAATATGAAAAAGAACTACACCTTATTTGAATATGAAAAAGAACTACTTAAAGATCAAGTTTCATAGCTATATCTGAACGATCTATTTCTCGTAAAGTATCCTGAAGCACTTTTAGCTGATTATAGGATGGACAGCTCTCATTCCATTCTCTGAGAAATCTGACGGCAACTTCCTGAAGACCTTCATGGATGTAGGTCTGTTCATGTCTGTCTAGCTTTTTCTCATTAAATTGAATACCTAAATAAAGTAATAACGGTCGAAGTTATAACTTATCAGTATCAAAATAATTTTCTATTCAATCACAGTAGAAAAAAATTATTATGAGATTCTTACAGTTAATTTATAACAAAGCGAGTATGTGTAAATACCAGAAGGTGTGTGTTCTAGTCATATATTTTTTATGACTCTTGCTATGATTTCTATGGAAAATTTATAGTTGCTAATAAAATAATAACCGGCACAAACGTCAGCGGAAAAGGTCTGCTTCTGTTGTATTCTTTCACCAATTTACTTAAAAAGAAATACTACACCATTTGTTATGTTATATTATGTATTATATGGAAAATCAAAATGACACTTTTACAGTCCCTGTTCCTTTCACTAATCAGATGCTATGAAGTTTTGACCCATTCTTGGAAAAGGGAGAACTGCAATTCCTACATAGCCCTGAATTAACAGAGGAGCTGTTATCACCCTCTGTAGTACGTCAAAATACACACACACAAAAAAGAGTCCACACTATGCTTGCTTCTGTGGTATAAAACATGCTGCTACTAGAAAAGTTTATAACATTATCTCCGGACCCTAGCACACTTAACTAATAATATACTCACGACATAATCTGGATTAGTTAGTGAAGTACACTGGTATCCAATCGTTTATGTTCTACCTGATGCCATTCTCTAACGTTCCTGGATGATCAGAGTGTCATAACAACACGGTCTGAGACTCTGCATAGTCTGTTACGTATAAACCTCAAGAGCTTAGATTAAGAAGCATGACTACCAATTAATTTGAAAATGTCACACACTACGCTGCAGTTCATAGATATTGTTATTTGTTTGTTCGTTGTTAAGCAAGAACAAACTTCACAATGATTTATATTTACAATGTATATGAAGTCGTGTACAAGTTCTATGTGTATAAATCCCGACCCTTGTTACAGTTATTTCTCATTGGTTTACGGCAGGTCGTGGATATGACTCCTCTGCGTTCTCACGATGTTGTCCCCTAACCTAGCTACTGCGTTGGAATTGTCTACAGACATTTAAGATCAGACTTTTGGATACATTCATGAATTGAGTACTATGATTTTGACTTGAACAATTTTCAAGCATCTCTGAACCATTATGGGTGCTCCGATATGCTTTCAAAGTTTAAAATGTGGATCCATGCACAGAATTGAACAAACACGTAAAGTGGGTGCTGACGGGTGAAAAACAAAACAAAAATCAAACGTCAACATCAGGTACAGACAGTAACTTAGTTTAACTAATGTTGGTTTTGCCAACATCAGGTACAGACAGTTACTTAGTTTAACCAATGCTGGTTTTGTAACTTAGTTTAACCAATGTTGGCTTTGTCAACATCAGGTACAGACAGTTACTTAGTTTAGCCAAAGCTGGCTTTGTCAACATCAGGTACAGACAGTAACTTAGTTTAACTAATGTTGGCTTTGTCAACATCAGGTACAGACAGTTACTTAGTTTAACCAATGTTGGCTTTGTCAACATCAGGTACAGACAGTTACTTAGTTTAACCAATGTTGGCTTTGTCAACATCAGGTACAGACAGCTACTTAGTTTAACCAAAGCTGGCTTTGTCAACATCAGGTACAGACAGTTACTAAGTTTAACCAATGCTGGGTTTGTCAACATCAGGTACAGACAATTACTTAGTTTAACCAAAGCTGGCTTTGTCAACATCAGGTATAGACAGTTACTTAGTTTAACCAAAGCTGGCTTTGTCAACATCAGGTACAGACAGTTAATTAGTTTAACCAATGCTGGCTTTAACTGAGAGAGCAATGCTTAAATTTTATTTTTCGTTTGGCGTTTTTTTGGCAACTAGGTTATCTGCGCCAAAGAATCGGTAAAAATGCTGGAAGTAGAATACTATAAACAGTAAAATGAAAATAAGGTAAAAGCTAAACAATGCATAAGATTCAGGCAAAAACTTAAATAGAATGAAGAAGGCCAATGGCTCGTAAAACGCTAAAAAACACGATCAATTTGGCCAGTGTCACCACCGCCACTGACACCGTCCAACGTCAAGGGTAAACACTTATAAAAAACATGTCGAAAATGGTGCCGTCGACCAAAGTCGTAACGACGGCACGAAACAAGACATATTCAGTTGTTACTTCAGTGTTACAAAGCCATACGGGACAAGCACAGCTGAGGAAGCTCGTCCATTAACAAAAGTTGAGTAATATAATAGAACAGTTGCTTGCAATGAAACCTGAACATCTGATTAGTTAAGTTTTACCAACAGAAGTTCTTCAACTGCCAGATATTTTCTTCAAAAACCTCAAATTAGCTGGTTGAATTAATGTGTCATCATGTTAGTAACTCATTGGGTAGTTTAATCATTTAATTTTTCAAAGTTGTGCTAAAATCACCCCCCCCCCCTAAATAGTTATTTTTCTATGTTTTACATAACATAAAAAAAGCTTCCTCGAGGCAAATAACAAGAGCCTGTATTACGGGATCATCCTATAATCCAAGAAAGAACGGGAAACAGTTTTACAAGACTATTCCCTTTCAGTTTTTAATTCAAAACAAACAGAAGGGCTCAGCGTCACAGAGGTGTCTTTGTTTGAATTCGATAAATAGTTAACTTTACGTTTTTAAAATTTTTTCAACGTGGATTAATAAATATTTTAGAAGTATTTTGCACAATAAAACAAACTATGGATTTAGTGAGTTTTGGGATATATCGCAGTATCTGTCAGTTCTTAATTAAAAACAGATTGTTGACAGGTGATTCTTTTTCATGGACTATTTCTTTTTTTTGGGGGGGGGTCAAGAAATAGCTAAACAATGGGAGGTAGTCTTATAGGGATGTTCTTTTATTTCAGTACAGATGGTTAACTTATGAGTGCCTTAGAAAAATCTGCACTTTTATTAAATAAACAGATGGCTATCTCGAGACTGCATTAAAGGATTCTGGTTTTTCTTTTTAAAGCATAGTTGATTGGCAAAACAATTACAAGATTAATCGTTAATTCGAAATCACAAATAGTTTAATAACTATTGATTGTAGAATTAAGGTTAAATAAACGAATATATAAATGAGTTTCATATTTATTTTGATTAAAAAGAAAATCGAAACCAAAGTTACGCTTACAATGACTATAAAAATATTACAACATATATATAATTTTTATCACGATTTTTACAAACTCTAAACTACCTTTTATCTCATAATTAGTAAAATGTTTTGAGAATCACTAGCATACTACAGAAACAAGATTCAAATCATCGATTATTTTAATAATTTTATCTGTATTTTCGTTCATGACTTGTGTGAAAGTAGATACAGAAAAAGTATCAGAGCTGAGCTTCTTATCAATCTTTATAACAAAGAATTTATCACATATTTTGTTCTGTTCAAGCTCTTGAAAGTTACAATATGTCTTCTTGTGATCTAAACATACAATATATAAGTAGACCAAAGTGTATATATTTTATCATGCTGTACTTTTACAATGTATAATATACCAGGTGTATATACCTTCTTGAATATACCTGTACAATACACAAGATAAATAAAAAACTGGGAAATTAAAAACCTGCAAATAGGGATCACAAGAAAAGTAAGGAAACAAGGATGGAGATACTGTACGCATTATTTACTCAAACTACAAATCCTTATTTTGACCTCACCCAATATAATCCTAGGTAACAAAAAGGAGCCAAAATAGGGGTTTCTACTTTGAGTAAATAATGTCTACAGTATGTCCAGCATTGTTTGCTTACTTCTTTTGCGATCTCTTTTCGCAGGTTTTTAAATTCCCAATTTTTTATTTGTTTTGTTTGCTGATTTTTGTTATGCTCAACTATGGGCAAAGAAATTACTTGATATGGTAGCTAACTTTATATATTGTTATGATAATAAACATAGCTAGTTGATACGGTTCATGATGAATTACTGTAGCTATTCACTATTTGATCGCATTAGTTGGAGATGTAAAATATTAAGCTGCAGTTGGAGATTGTCATAAAGATTTGTTTGAGAATATATTGAACTTTTATAGTTTTTGGGTAACTAAATTATCTATAACTAATGCATAGCAATGGGCAAATATATATACCTTGACTAAGACACAACCTCTACTACGTGCGTATAAAATGTTAAGAGTAGAAAATCAGCATTTTCAAATAAAACATATTCGTCTAAAACATCGTTTTAAATATATACCTTCGTGTCTTTTAAACTTAATTATTCTACGAATGTGTTAATAAATTTTAATATTATGTGTATTGATTTTTTTTACTCCTTCACTTCATACATAATATAGTGGTTGGCTCCCTAAGGACATCGATTGTATAGTGTACAAAAAATGAGTATCTGCATATTACAATAATCTAATGTTCATCTGTTATTAGCTGGTAATTTCTGTTTCAGTCTGTACTTACGCTTTTGCCCGGCATGGCCAGGTGGATAAGGCGCTCGACTCACAATCTGAGGGTC